GAGAGAGAGAAAGACAGAGACAGAGACAGAGACAGAGAGAGAGAGAGAGAGACAGAGAGACAGAGAGACAGAGAGAGAGAGAGAGAGAGAGAGAGAGACAGAGACAGAGACAGAGAAGAGAGAGAGAGAGAGAGAGAGAGACAGAGAGACAGAGAGAGGGGGGGGGGGATAAAAAGTAGGCATAATGAAGGAAACCGAGAGAGCTAGCAGAATTCCCTGCATGTTGGACAAACCCGGGAAACAAACGAGTTTTCACACAGTTTCAGGAGTCAAGCAGCCACAGCACACACTTCACACACTCTTCTGCGATGCATCTGAAATGAGAAGTCCTAATTATTATTTCCATTGTGCCCCACTCCTGTGAGGAGGACCACTAACTGTGAATGATTATAATTATTACCCGTAGTAGAATAGCAGTCATGCTGTTGTATCATCGGCAACATCCTCCAACACATCAGGGTCATGTGTGACTTGAAATGCATGTATGCAATCCAGTTCACATCCCCCGTCTTTAGATGTTTAAAGAAAAAAAACGCTTGACTTTTGCTCAGATGTGCTGTGTGTGGATTTGCCTCCGGCGCTCTACGGTAAATGAAACTGAAGCGTTTGTCATCAGCTGATCTGACAGGAACTAAAACTCATGATAAAACGGTCATTTAAATAAAAATGATGCTGTCAAAAGAGGCACGCGCGTCGCTATCTCCACAAACGCAATTAAAAAGGAGAGAATCACAACAGATCCCAGTCTGTTCCCAGCTCAAATTTTACAAAGTCAACCGAGAAAGATTTTATAGCAAAAATATAGCCCGCCTGCTATTTGTGCATGAATTTGCAGCATTGTTTAGAGTAAAAAACAAGCCTGTCTTGAATGGCTGGTAATTACGTACAGCAGGAATAAAGCGTGGCTTCTTTCGGAGGCGCTGGTGGCTTGTTAAGTGGTGAACAGACAAAACAGCATTTAGAAAATGAAAGGTGCAGGGAAACATCCAGGGCACAGCAAGCGTCTCTCTTATTAGATGCAACACTTTCTCTCTCACAACTGTTTGTTTCTTCCAACTGGAGGGACGCAGGCTGACCCCCCCCCCCCCCCCCCACACACACACACACACACACACACACACACACACACACCACCATCACCAGCAGCAGTAACTGTCTGTCCATCTCTTCCTCTAATCTTCCCAGTACCTCCTTACGTTCCATCTTTTGCTCTCCATCTCCTCATCAACCCTCTCTTTTCTAACCTTCAAATCCAGCAGACATGTCTGATTCTGGTTCTCACAGTTCTGACAACATCTGGTGCAGCATTAACCTGCTCCTACACAGCCAAAAAAGCACGGCCAAATTAGACGTGGGCCATTGCAGATAAGGGGGAATCTATTAGCACTATTATATAATGAAATCTGGGGTTGTTATTGCTGCTGTGTGTGCCATTACAAAGGGAACAATACATGCGAGCCCACATTGCGAAACCAATTAAAATCCGGCCCTGTCGTGTAGCTTCCCGGCTTTCTGAATCGTGTTGCGAATGTGCCGCTTCCACGCGGCTCGCGTCACCGAGCCCCTGTCCGAGTCTCCGCCTCATCTCTCCAATTCCCTGGCCTCGCACGCCCGCTCACCTTCCGTTTCAGGAATCCTGCGAGTTAAAAATTCAACGGGGGCCCGAAAGGGGAGAACTGGGGAAATTTCACATTATCTATCAATTTGCAGTATATGGATGTGGAGGAAGGAAATGAGCTATGAAGGTGGAGTCCCCGTGGTCACATGTCTGCATATTGAGATCAAGCAAGCAGTGCAGAAAGTGGTTAAAAAGAGCCTGGTTTAATTGGACTTTTACTTGTTAATGGCGGGAATCCTGACGCATTACTTTCATTATCCTGGCAGAACTAATTCATGAACAGTGCAGGAGAAGAGGCAGGACGTTGTGTTGAAACGGCATCCAAAGCGTCTGTGCTGCACAGGATGCTCTCTGATACGACTTGTGAGCCGCGTGTGAACGTGTGAACCCTCAACCAGGCGCCTAAATGCATGAATCTGCTTTAACACATGAAAAAGGAACAGGGGGAGGCCATTTTACTGTTTGTTTAAGGACGTCGAAGTACCCTGATCCTAAACGTGAAGGTGTGTCCAGGTTTCTTGGCCCTCAAGAGTCCAGCGCAGCCCTCATCAGCCTGGCTGCTACCGCTGCTGCTGCTGCTGCTACAGAAATGAGAAAAGGAGGGGGCGGCCTGTCTCTGCTCACATCCACACTTAGCCCTATCAACTGCTCTGTCAATGCCAAAGAGCAGCCAATCAACAGAGAGCGCCTTAATGCTGCTCTGATTGCATTGTTCTTAATTCATTACATCACCCTTCTGTAACAGTTTCGCCTCGGCTCCACACGCCTCTCTCTGACACATATTCTCTAAAAAGAGGAGCATTCTTTAGAGTAGATTAGCACAGTTTGCCTATTAGCTACAGATGTCTTTCTTTTTGCTTCTCTCACACACTGTGTGTGTGTGTGCGTGCACGTGCGTGCGTGCGTGTGTGTGAGAGAGAGTGCAGTGGAATGCATACGTTTTCGTGAGCAATGTGTTTATGTGTGCAACTTCCTGGAACAACTCCTCTATGAGTGTGTTTGTGTCTCTCTCTCTGTGTGTGTGTGCGCGTGCAAGTGTGCATGTATGCGTATGTGTGTGTGCATGCGTGTGTAGAGCAGAGCAGCTAGCAAAGAGCTCAGCAGCGCCTCAGTCCCTCAGGACATGCTGCAGCTCCCTCCTCGCAGCCACGAAAAGCAATCAGAATCCAGCCTTCTCCTACCGGACTTACCTCTGCCTTTAATTACAGAACTCAGCAGCCGCAGCAGCAAAAGAAGCAAAGAGAAAGCCTGCCTCCGCTGGGCTGCAGCTAGCATGTTGTAACCCAAACACAGGGCCTGTGCGTAGAGCGGCTGGCCCTGATGCAGCTCAGCAGGCTGCCTACCCAGACCGAGACTGAGCCAAGGTGCTTGTAGCGATAAAGCAAGCGGGGAAAACTGTGGCACTCCAGTCATATAGCACAGTAGGGCTCCACACAGCCAAGGGAAGCCCTGTACTGCGTGCCTGATGAGACGCCGTCACCTGGTAATGTCCGAAAGCACAGGACCTGGTGTGGTACTGCAGCGTGTCTTCTCCTCACCCAACTCCATGGTCATCTACACAGGTAGCATGGGTGATTTCCATCAAAAGCATGGTCTCTGCATGTGAACAATAAGCCCCACATGTGAGCAAAGCCTGATGAGGATCAGCTCGGTGTGATGCGAGGCCCACTCCAGCAGGAGAGTCCTGACACGAGTGCCTCAGGCTGAAGCAGAGAAGCCACACAGCACACATGGACAAGGGGAGATAAGAGTCTATGTACACAAGCTCCGGTTTTATTGCTGCAACATAACACTCCAACAGCATTTTAAACACATTTTCAACTTAATCTGGCAGCGCCATCCTCGCTACAGGGGGAACAGGGCGCTGTAATGTGTCACCAGACTCAATTCCTCTCCCAATTTAATCCGAGCAGAACTTTAGAGGAAGCAAACCAGATTGGCCGGGAGGAACGACACACGCTGCCCGAACAAATCCTCACGCCACAGCGAAGACTGCACGAAATCCAACCGAGACAACAACGATACGATAGCAAAACCGCATCCATGATGTTCTATAGAACGGGGAGGCCCTCTCTCCACCACTTTCACCCCCTAGCTTCAGACCCAGTGCGAATGGCGACTCAATTTGTCCCTCTGATGGACTTGCTTTGACTTCCACCTCTGACGCTGTCCTCTCGTTAGAGGAGAGAGCACAACACAAAGCCACCTGAGGGGTTTTCTGTGAGCAACATTATTTATTTTAACTGTAGTTTCTATAGAAAAGTCTGTTCAGATATCTGTTTTCTTTGTTTGAACGCGTCTGACAACGATATGCAATGACTGCTTAACCCAAATAAACATGTACAGAGTTAACACTGGACCAAAAAGACCTAAATTGTGAGCTTGATCCTTTTTTTCCCACTCAATAAACAATCAGGTTCACTCAGGCTAGGCCGGCATTGCTGATGTCATTCTAACAATTGCACTCATTGGTCACTTCTACCTGTGACTACGTATTCCCTCGTTTGAAGCCAGGCTTTTTGTTGTTCTTATTCAAATATATTCCAGTTAAATCCCCTTTACTACGATGCTACTCCTCCACACACTCGGGCTGTTACTGAGTGCTGCAACTCATTATTTTTAAGAATGCGGCTGTCTGTGTGGACTTCCGGTAAACACCTGTCATGCAGCATCCTTAAAAGAGGATGGGGTGTTGGAGATACACTGATCTAGTGACCCCACAGTGCAGGCTTTCGCACATGCCTATAGGTGTGTGCACTCTGCTGCTAAAGTCTTTATGAATCTTTTATTTACCTTTATCACGGCGGAGGGGCCTGTCTGTAAGATGATGTGTTATCCCATTAGGTCTCAATAGCCCATTCATGAATCATTCATCAGCGTGGACTATGGACCCCCCCCCCCCCCCCCATTCAGATTGAGGCTCGGGATGCAGAGCCTTGCCTCAAAATGACGTCCACAGGCCACGGTTTGTCTCCACAACATGCAAACAGAGCCGGAGAGCTGCCATCCATCTGAACAGCCGCACGTGGCAGCTGGATGTGTGTTGGATTTCCGAGCAGGTCGGAGTTTTGGGTAAGAGGAGGTGTTTTTGTTGTATTTTTAACGCAGGGAACAGAAAATCGATGGAGCAGAGATGGATGAATGTAGGCTACGCCAGCTGTCCCAGAGAGAGAGGCAGGGCTGCTACTATCCCCCCCGCATGCATGCATGCATGCTGCTGCGCTGAGCGCTCCCCTTAGAATAAACCAAAAGAAAATGTCCGATCAGAGATCAGATTTTGGGGGGGGGGGGGGGGGGGGGTGTAACGTAGCTGACATACCTAATACAACCCGGATACACGGCATCATCATCATAATCATCATCATAATATTTGACTGCCTACCTCCACAGCACCCGAACTGCGTGTTGTTTTTCCTCTCCTCCTCCCGTCGCAGTGGGATCCTTCTCAGCTACTCTGGACAGTATCGGAGATGCGTCTTCCCCCGAAATGCAAACAGTTCCCCTGCATGTCCCCCCTCCACCCTCCCCGCCACCACAAGCAGCAGCAGCAGCAGCTCGGGCCTCCTCCTCCGGTGGAAAAGCAGGTGGACGCGCCTCTCAATGATGGAGGCAGCGCGGCTCTCCTCTCCGCCGCGGCCGCCGCTCCATTTTCGGTTAGAATTCCAGGAAAGGCACTGAGGACCGGAGCGGTCCCTGGAACGTCGCCGCGTTTCTCGGGACAGAACTCCTCCTTCTCCGCGGCGCGCCCCCCGCCTCCTCCTCCTCCTCCTCGCCTCTCGTCTACTACTAGACTTTTGATGTTGCCATTGTCACGGCGTGGTTTTTCCTCCCTTTTGCTTTTTTTTAGGAAAAAAATGTTCTCCTACAGCCGGACCTCTCCCCCCTCCTCGCGACGCACAGTCTCGTACAGGCAGGCGCGCGCCGAGAGCTCCCCCCCCCCGCCTCTCCGAATCTTCTCGGCCCGACCTATGAGCGCGCGCTGCCAGCCGACGCAGGGCCACGCACCGCTTTGACGGATGCGCCGAACAAATCAGGTAGCCCACTCCAAACAGGACTGGATCATAACAGGGCAACTGCAATGACATGAATAATGAATAGAAGACTCGTGTTTGTGCGTGAGCTGGAAGATGGGCCCGCTACCGAACCGAACTGGAAACACAATGTTTGGATCCACTCCATGGGTCTCATTCGGTTACTAGATTCAGCTCTGTCGGTGGCTAATAACTAGGTACCCAAAATGAATTGAAATGTTGTCTTTTCTGTCCAAAAATAGATTAGATATTCATTTATTTAAGTGTATAGTGAAGAAAACTGATCCACTTTCCTAATTATTTAGCTGGTCCAATAATTATATTTCCTCCATAAAGTTATTACCTGTAACAATCAATATAAATGTCCCGACAATCACAAATCACAAACAGCTTGACATTACTCCTGAAAGGTCACCATAATAAATCTGATTCAATCGCTCAATAAATCCTAACTTTGACTAATGCTTTCTAACTTGAATTTCATATAAAATGTCTACTTGGAAATGGTATTAAAGAAATTATAGCACATATATTTCTGTAAAATCTACCAGTAAGTTATTAAATAAACTTAACCTCCTGGGACCCAAACTTGAAGAAGAAACATATCTAGCTATTGCAGATCAGTCGACTGTAATTAAGAAAAACAAAAATTAAAATACAATAAAAATTCTATTACAATGTTGTCAAATATCCTAAAAAAGAAATATAACCATGAATAAAATATATGGTCAAATTTAAGTCAATATCAAGTGTCTATAAATTATGACATAAAGGTCTAAGTAGAAGAGAATACATTTTTACAGTGTAAGGAGCCAATGTGTGGACACAGGGCCCTAGGAGGTTAAAGGTAGAATTTACAGTGAAATAATCACAAAGCAGCCAAAGAGGAACGTCGCTGTTAACAATGTGAGCTTGCAGGTTTGCAAAAAATGGTGCTGCGCCGTCGGCATTTATAATTTAACATGGCTGGCAAAAAACAGCAGTGTTTTATAAAGATCCTAAGCCAGTAAACAGGAGCGACCCAGAAGTTTTTTCTTGTACATCTTAGAAGCCCACGGCATCTTTAGCCCTTTATACAAGACACACCGTGGCTAATCAGCGTAATATTACTGTAACAATATGTCTTATAAACGTGCCATGCCGGCTGTGGCGATGAGCAAATTTTACAGCATTCGTTCCGCCTCGCTTGTCAGAGAAACGTGTAGAGGGGTAAATATTGTTGATCTTAAGCTTAATATATGACCTTTACTCTATATAAATATAGAATATCAACCTGCTTGGTCTTTGGATGTTTAATCAGAAGATTCTAGGATTCTTTGCTTTTTCAGGGATCAAGCACACTTCGTCTCAATTCATACAGAGTCCATCCATCCATCCAACTTCTGAACCTGCTCGTCCATGTGGGGTTGCGGGAGGGGGGGGGGGGGGGGGGGGGCTGGTGCCTATCTCCAGCAGTCAACACAGGCAATCAGGCGGGGTACACCCTGGACAGAGAGCCATCGCAGGGCAACACGGAGACACACAGGACAAACAATCACACACACACCTAAGGACAATTTAGACAGACCAATTAACTTGACAGTTATGTTTTTGGACTGTGGGAGGTAGCTTGAGTACCCAGAGAAAACCCACGCGTGCACAGGGAGAACATGCAAACTCCATGCAGAAAGATTCCAGGCCGGGAAGCGAACCCAGGACCTTCTTGCTGCAAGGCAACAACTCTAACCACAGGTAAGACATTTATTTTCTAAACAAATAAAAACAAGACAAGTTAACCAAGACTACTGTGATGGATGAAACTAAGTGGATGGGATGTATGGCGATTGAACGGTGTTTGTTTATCAGAACCTTGTATCTAGAAGAACTGAGTTCTGGGTGTGGAAAAAGAATTTGGTTTGCATTAAACTATGAAGTTGGTTCTTATCAAAACGGCATCAGACGCAATCATGTGTGTCTACCTCACCCTTTCTTTGGAGACCCTCTTCATGGATCCGGAGGTCAGGGAGGTCGGATGACCTCTGGGCACCGAGGTTCGGTAGATTAACCGCAGTACTGACGCTCCAGTCCAGAGATGTCAGCAGGCACACAGGTTGGAACCAGTTTGCATCTAGAGCAGCTGTTTCTGATTAGCTGAAGGAAACGTTGTGCTGTGTCAGCTGTAGGCAGCTTTTAGCTTGTCGAAAGCTTGCCAAGAGATGCGGTGGCTAGAGAGTTTTCCTACGATGGCCAGTCAGAGTTAGCTCAACCAACAGGATGCTGAATCTCACAGAATGCTGGAATGATGAATCACTCCGTAAGCGACTCTGTTTTAATATTCTCATGTTATGATTTACTTGGCCAATCGGGACGTGCCATGTTAAGGGGTGTTAACAACAAACCCTCAGAACATCACGCCTTCTTTCAGATACAGGATGCTCTGATTTGTAGCTAAGAAAATATCTACATGCAGTGACGTTACTTTAACTTTAATTTATCTCTAATGGACATTGTGTCTGAGTGTAGATCATGATTCACTTGTTAAACCAAACATTACTGATCATCATAATAATATTCATTTCAACTTCAGTATTCCAAGCACAGATTAATCAACCTTATTAATTTAAGCACAGATTAATCAAAACATTATTATTATTCATCAACCATTATTGTTCATTCATATAATTATTTACTATTATAACGGTTCTGTCCTTTATTCTGTGCAGGACAGCCTAGATACGCAGACAGGCTTGGCAGAGAAGAACCTTGAGAAGGGAACATGATGTTGACAATGCGTTATCATGTGTTCAGAGCTGCAGAGAGGCCCGGACTCCAGCTGATGGAATGGCAGGATCCGGCAGATTAAAGGCAACGAATGTAGACTCTTGTCTCCATATGACCAGATACTGAAGAGGTCAAACTGTACATGAAAAACTGACCATTTGTGGACGTTACAACGGCGAATGCGCCTTGGCGCAACAGAGGGAGGTGTCATGTTGACGTGGGTCGTTAATGCTGAGCTCAGGCCGGTAAATATATTGAAAATGAAAGTAAACACGGACTGTACGTTTTTCTTTTTGAAAAAAATCAGCTGAGACGGCAATCTGGAGCAATGCTGAGCTCCTGGAGCTCTTCTCTGTTAGAGCTGGAGGTCAGATTATCAGAGGCTGCACGGGGACTGTGGAGGACAGACACCTTTAGGAATGGCTTGTCAAAACTATTTTGGAATCGCGGCTTCAATCACAATAAAAAGCAAGTTATTTCCAAGACAAATGGAAGTTCGCGGCAGCGCAGAGGCTGCCCCCACAACGCCTTTATGCCACTATCACCTAATCTTTTATAAAAACGATATGATGGCACCGCATTACCGCCACAGTCTGACCACTTATAAACAACCTAAGGCTCCCTGGTGCAGCCATGACGTTGCGTCAAATTGACGGTATTGTTTTGCAAAAATTGCTTTTTTATTTACTCTAATATCAGCTAAAGGAGGCCAAAGGTTAACACTGAGCTAACAATGCTAAAAAAATGGGCTACTTTTTCAATTACCAACAAGTGGATATTAGTGAAATGTATTTATACATATCATGATCTTACTGTGTATGAGTCGTCATCTGGAATCTTCTGGCGCTGGTCCGTAACTGGTAACAGCTGGAAACTCAGGAGGGGAGGGGGAGTTTTCTTTGCTGGTTTTAAAACATGAAAACCATTCACAAATACGACCACATCTTATTGACTGAGAGGGCGGAGCTGCTGCAGTGAAGAAGATGTTTAACAAGGTGACACTAGCTCTTTTCACTCTGAGCAGTCATTTGAAGTGGAGGACGCTTCTCCCCCTCTGCCACGGTCTGAGGTGTGTTCCTGCTGTCACTCCCTGTCTCTGAGTTTTCCCTCCGCAGGTGGGCGTGTCCGGAGGTTGACCAAGCTGCAGCAAATCTGCTCATCAGCCGGCCAGGTGTATTTAAGCAGCTGAGAGACATCCACTCTTCGCTGGATGAGTACTCAACCTGGGTACCTTCTACAGCCACTTGAGAATCTTATTTGAGCTCTTTACTTTTTTGAGAATTGAATGTGTTTTTGGATGTTGGAATTGTTGCCTTTGACCTCCTGCTCTTGTCTCCAGAAAGAAACTTCACCCTCTTCTTAGATTGGCAGAATCCTGGAGCCCACACCATTTGGAACTCCACCCTCGCCCATCTCTCAGTCTCTCCCTGGCCAGAACCACCTCTAGCACCCCACCTTCGCCCCCCTGGATCCAAACCCGCTCAGCCTCTCCACTAGCTCAGCTCCCTCCTCGCCTGTGGACACACCTCATTTCGGACTCTCCCCTCCCCACGAGGCTGCCTCCACGTCAAACTGTAGGTCCACATCAACCTAGATTTACTCTACTTACTCCTGTTTGATTCCAACTCTCTCCTCCGTCTCCAGACTTCCCCACGTACCGGAATCTACCAACGGGATCAGCTCACCTTATGCTGCAAACTGTTTTTTTCCCTTCTATAATGTTTTTACCATAACTCTGGCTCAGTCCTGATTCTGTATGTCATGGGTTAG